ACATTGCTTCTTTCCACATGTTTAATAGAAGTTGGCTTAAATATTAATACGCGTAAAGTTCAACATTGTCAATTGATCATCTTAAAATTCAGATCATTACTTATTACACAAATATTCTTGGTTTTTATTGGTCAATTTTGATTCACGTGACTTGAGATTTTTGCAAAAAATTTAAAACAAAGTTACATGATTTTTGAGTATAGATTTCCAGCACCATAAGTAATATAATAAATAATAATAAAGAATACTTACTAATGTTAGCATTTATATAATTCTTCTGAATATCTTATATCATATACAAATTATATAATATAAGGTTAAATAACGGATCTATGATAAGCTTTAAAAATCCACATTCAATATTGGAAAAACAATTATCTTTATTACTATCTATCAAATAATGCATTGATTAAAATGTGTTGTGCTAACGGATAAGATCAAACTCAATATTCTTTCGATTTATTTTAGAAACTGAATTCTTAAATGTTTTGTGAACCATTTCCTTTATTCTAATAGCAGTATTTACAAGTATTCCAAAATTATGCACATTTTGAATATAATATCAATTGATGTAAAAATTAGATAGATTCGTAAAATTGTTTAGAAAAGCTAGTATAATAAAAAATCTAATTAAATATTAATGTTATATGTGATATATTTAATTCTATATGCATTAAAAATCATGGAATTAACTAACATATATTGTTTTTAGATATGTTTATTACCTTTAATAAGATAATATGTTCAACTCTTAGTACCTTTTCTAATTCTTTATATCTTTGTTCTGTAAATTCAGAACTGAAACTTAAATGAGATACCTTTGAAACAGTTACCCAACAGATAATAATTGTATTTATAATTTGTAAAGGTAATGAAGTCCTTGAACGCAGATTTGTTAAGTCTGTAAATCATATCTAAAGTGAAACTAATTCAGAATCCTTAATATGAGATACGCCTAATAAATGATGTAATAAAAATGGTATTAACATTGCTAATCGAAGATGATTTAAAAACATAAAATTATCATGATATTTTATTAGATTAGAAAGGTGAAACTAACTGGTTGAGACTTCAAAATTCTTCTAGTAATCTAAAAATATAACTTCTCTTAATGGTTTTAACATTGCGAAAGTACATTCTATTAGTCTATATATTTTTTCAGTGACAGCATAATATATATCTTGAGAAGTTTGTAAATAATGATTTCATATTAATTGGTTCAAATACTAGGATGCATTTTTAAACTATGTTCAGTACAATATTCACTTATCATTTTTTACGATACTCTTTATTGTACTAAAATTTTCAATTTTTTTATTTTTTCATCTGTATGATGGTGATACCTTGCATTTAATTTGACATCAAAAGTGAAGTCATTTAATCATCCTTTGAGTACTAGACAACTTTTACACCCTTGATTATCAATATATTGCTTTGTGTCTGCAAAATCATTTCCTTGAGGCAAATTGGCTGTAATAATACCTAATGCTGCAATTACCCATATATCTTACCCATCAATTATCATTAAAACCTCTTTTTCTAAAAATTTAATTTCATTTACAATTGGTTTCATTATGCTGTCAAAATCTCTGTTGAATGGAACAAAGCTTAAAATGAAATAGTTTCTAAGTTATTTCCATTGATGTAAAGGCATATTACAAAATTGAAGGTATATTCCACCTAATGAATAGTATACATTGCAAAAGATTCTGAAATCATCATAGTAAATATCCAACATTATTTCAAAGTAGGTATATCTCGAGAAGCTAAGTTTAGAATTTGAGTATACTCAACTGGATATCAATACCAAAATTTAATATCTCTCATTCTTCATCGACCTTCATGATTATATAAGATCTCCTTGATATAAAATTGATAACAATTTGTTAATTCTGAAATGTCTTGAAGTCAGACTAAAACTGGTCTAATAACATTACGTGAATCAATTAAGAATGATGTTTCACTTAGCCATAATTTTTCATTCTGAAATTGTTCTATCTTTATTGAACTTGCAAAATTCTTAGCAATTCAGAACTATAATAAAGGAGTTAAATTTTTAATTTGATACTGCTTAAGGTTGAAACTATTGCTATAATCCTTCTGATTCTTATCTCTTTGTCTTTATATTTAATAAAAGTTCCTATTGTATATAATACTAAATATGATTCATTAGTTGTGATTCCTAAAACATTATCATCTAAAATTAAGTATTATCTTAATTTATCCATATTGATGATTGATCAAAGAGAAGTGATTCTTGCTATATATTACTATGCCAAAACTCTAATTTTATTTCAGCTTTAATACTAGGTTCAAAATATATCTGTAATCATAATTTTTTATTATTTAAAACTCTTCTTATATATTTGGTTACAGATATAGTATAAGCATCTTTAAAAGGAGTTGAGTTTAATAGAGTTTTCATATTATTAATAGGAATATTGTGACATTTATTATCTGAAGTGGGAGCCAGTTATGTAGCAGTCTCAGTCATCATACATTTTTGATTACATGCTCAAGTTAGAAGTCAGAATGTTATAATATACATACAAAATCATCATATGCTTTTGTAGCTAATATTATGTTAATTCAAAAAAAAATGTTTATATAAAGATGTACATATTTTAAAATTTGTTTACTTACTAATCATATACTTTGTAATCCAAATAAAAAATACTATTTCTGTAAAATTCTTGAAGTAAGGACCATATTCTCCAATCATTGGTATAAAATTAGTTTCATTCTCTATTATAGTTTGTGTAAACTCATTTACTCTTTCAGTTTGTTGTGATTTTGATTGATCACTATTACTCATTGTACTTGAGGATATTGTAAATTCAGATTCTTGACCATTATTGCTTATTATACTTGAAGTTATTATAAAACTAGATTCAGAATTATGAAATTCTACAGAAATTTCAAAAATTGAATGTTTCTACCTTTGTCTATTAAAACATTTTTACTACTATTGCTATCACTATATAATAAAAGTTCATCAATACTTTGTAAATTAGAATATATTTCTGATATTCTGTTGGTAAACTGTTTCTTTTAGTGTTTCTTGATGTAATGCGTTTTTGAATAACAATCTTTTTCTTAGAAGTTTATTTAATATGTATTTATTTCATCTTGTATAAATCAAAGAAAAAAAAATATTGATCACTAAAAAGTTGATCACTAAAATAAATATCCCCTTTTATACTTTTTTATTCATACATCAAAGCAATTTAAAATTTCCTAATGCTGTAATATTTTTTATTAATTGACAATATGATTAAGTAATCAAATTAAAACTTATAAAAATAACAAACTATTATTATATAAGCGTAGTTTTATTTTTTTATTTTATTATTTTATAATTTTTCCTATGGCTTAGCCTTACATGATTATTATGATATAATCACAAGCCCTTAAACTTAAAATTCCTTATTATTCCTTTACATCAATTTTAAATGTAAAAATTTCAGATTTAAAAATTTTAGTAGCGTAGCAATCAACAATTCTGATATTTATTATTTATATCTATTTACGATATATAATACATACATAATATATTGTATAAAATAGTCCATTTTTTCATTTTTCATAATATTATAAAAAAATTTATAACCATTTAAGGTTTATCTTAAATAAATGTAAATAAATTTTATAACGATGACTATCATATTATATATATACATATATATATTAAAAAGCTTTACGATTTATAATTTTAGATTTACATCATTTTTTATCCTCTGCTAAATTCAAAATGATTACAACTCGTGAAAGAAATAATAAAGGAAAGAATAAAAAATGTAAGAAAGAGAGAGAGAGAGAAAGAGAAAAATAAACGTATTTTAATATTTAATCATTCTTGTATTTAATATTTACAATATTTTATAATTATTAGCTCTAATAACTAAAACGAATGATTATAAAAGTCCTGAACCTGATATTCTTTCTAATGAAGATAAAATGCAAACTAAAGATATCGTTACTAAAAGAAAAAATTCATCTAAAAAACTTATGATAAAAATTATGAACTTGACGTTTCTTCAGATAAAGCTGAAGCACAGACTGAGGATATTGTTACCAAAAGAAGCATCAAAAAACTGTTCTAAAAACTTATGGTAAAATCATGAACCCAATATCTTTTTAGATGAAGCTGAAGACATTATTACTATTCTGAAGACTTTTAAACTGAATAAACGTAAAAATCCCAGATTTAATAGCTCTTATTATAAAATCAAATTGTAAGACAAAAATGTAGATAATATAAAGTTGTATCAGAACATAATATTATAAAAAAGAAATCAAGAAAAAATGAAGTTTTTGATTTAACTAGTAGCGATAATGATGGTATATATAGGTATAAGTTCATACAATTCATCATGAATTATCAATCTATTTCCTTTACAAATATTATTAAAATCCACTAATTTCAAAAAAAACACAATCTGTTATTACTTTTTATCATAAATAATTTTCATTATATATTTTAGATATAACACTTCAGATTGTGAGTAATTTGCGTTCTTCTATACTGAAAATTACCTTGCAATAATATGAAAGTTTGGACCATAATCATTTATTTACATTATTCAATAAACAACAAACATCAAAATCAAATAATATTGATGATGTTTTAATATCTAATAAATAACAGTCTTTAGCATTAAATTTTACCAGCAATACCATAATATCACCTCTTTAATTAGTCCATTTAAAAATGATCTTAAAATTTATATGTTTCTCGTATATCAGCCAGATCTCATAAATTTAACTTTAAACATGATAAAAGCAAATGGTCACGAATTCACAATTGTTTAAGAAAAACACACCAAATTTAATATACTTTTAGAAAGGGTAAGTTTCAATAATATATAATTTTATATTACACATATTAATATATTTTATTTAAAAATAGGAACTCAGAATATTACAATTACATTTAAAATACCTTTTATTTTTTACACTTGAATTATAATAAACAAATAGTTGATACAATGGTAAGATTTTTATTTTCAAATATCTAAATCACCAGAATTTTAGATCAGGCTGCATTACAAACATAGGCTTTTGAATGTTTTCATGATTATAATATGATAATGTGATGTGAGCTTCAAAAATTAATTCCTGAATTTATTAAAAAATACAAGTAAGTTTATAATTACTATTTTATCTGTTTGTAATTTTTAATAGAACTAATCAAAGTATTATAAATTAACAAAGGTAAACCACTCGAAATCTCAACAAATTACTGAATATATTATGAAAAACAATTAGATGGCTTTTCTAAAATGGCATATGGATACAATAGATGAGAAGAAATCATTTAAAGATTAACTTGACAATGTTACTAAATTTAACAAATTTATATAATCAGTATTTGACTTATTTGTTTAGAAGAAACTTTTGAATAAAAAAGTTATTAATGATGTTAAAAATTTAAATTATATAACAACTGTATAAAAATATTTGCAGCAGATAGAAGAGATATATTATAACAGTTGGATATTAAATCATTGCTTAATTTGAAATAGATGAATTAATATATGAAAAAGTTAAAAAAGTTATAATACTATTTTTAACTATATTAACTTTACAGTGATTATATTGTAACAATGATAATTTTATAATAATATCATCAAAACTTAATATACATTTTAATTAGATTATTACAATGTTTACAATAATATTATAATGTAATAAATAATATTATTACTATATTGTAAAGATATTAAAACTATATAATTATTATATAGTTTTTATAAATTCTATAAATTACATTGTTACTGTATAATGATAATATTATTACATCATAATAATAGCATAGTCAAAAAAATTAAGTTTTAGCAAAGTACTCAATAATAATTTAATTTTAATAAAATTCAGTATTTCATTTTATTATATTAATATAAAATTATTTGTAAAAAATTAAATTTATATTATTATATAAGTTTTTTCAATTATAGTAAATTAACATAAAAATTATATTAATTTTATCATTTTTTTATATGCAATTATCTTTTTCTATAATTACTTTCTATATAATTAAATTATATTAAATCTCTTATTATAAATTCATATTTTATAAATACCTATTAATGCTATATAAAAATCCTTTATAATCAAAATATTTTTATAGTCAGAACTAATCTTAATAATAATAAATAAAATTTTCATATATAATCACTTTTATTATAATTATACTTTTTGTTTTTAATTCTAAAGATGTAACTATAAAAAAAAATGACTGTAATTATAAAATATTACTTTTATTAAAACTTATTCAATAATAATTAGATTTTGAAAAATTAAGTATTTTATTTTTTTTAATAATATAAAATGACTTGTAAAAAATTAACTTATATTATTATATAAAATTTTACAATTAGAGCTAAATAATTTAAGAATTTATTGATTTATAATATTTTTATATGTAATAAAAAATAAATAATAATCAATAAAATATTGATAAAAATATTAGCAAATTGTAACATAATTAAATATGATACCAGTAGATTATATCTGATAATCACGTGGATTGTTTCAATTTTGATTGACCAATAATATTTGAGTTGTACTAATTATGCAAATTCAAATAAAGCTGTAACGTTAATTATTATAATCGCAAAATTTTATTTTTTTTTTGTCAAATTATTGTACTATATATTTATATAAACAAAATAAGTACTAATTACTCATTTATATCTATTTCTTTTTCAATATTTTCAGGTAAACCACAATGAGACTTATATTTAGTAACAACCTATTCAGCAGATCTACCCACTAACCCTTTGTTATAAGCATCCATATATCTCCAAGATTTATGAGTGAATTTACGAATAATTATTATGAAAATATTGTTAAGAACTCTTGAAAGCTGTTGAAGTAAGTCTTTGTAGTTGTAATTGCATATTCGTTTAGTTTCTCATTTAGTAAAACCTCAGCATCTCTCTATAAAATTGCATTCACAGTGAAACTTAGGATAAAGTTCAAAGATATGCCCTGCTCTAGTAACTGCCTCCTCTAGCATCGATCGTTGTTCACAAAAATCAGGCTGTTATGATATGATCCATCATGCACAGCAATCTAAAACTTCTGAATTATCATCGTTTTTATTAGAACACCGTTCACATACTAAACAAATTTTTTTTCTGGCCACAGGTTATGTTCTTCAAGTATTTGTTTGATTCCTTTTGGTTGGCCTTTCAGTATTGTTACTGGGTAGTTATCTGGAAATATCATTGTTTGCTTACATCTCTCTTCAAGTTCATTAAAATACTAGCCATTACGCATCTTAGGTTGTCTTCCTCCAGGACTCAGGTTCATTCTTACTGCAACCAATGCATCTTCCACCATAGCATTGTGATTTGTTGATTGGTCAAAACAGAAGATGCTAATGCATTCAGCATACAATATTTCAAATAACAAGATAGCTCTTTGTATAAGTTGTTCTAACATATGTTCAGATTTCCAGTATTCATCTGACTGTATAGAACGAAGAATAAATGCATTCTTGTATTTTATTTGTGGATTCACTTGCAATTGCTCATCAGATAGTCATAATAAGCTGTGACATAGGCAAAGAAAAGCTGAAACTATAATGAAACGTCTCATATGCTTTGAACGCAAAATATCTTCATCTTCCATGATTCAGACTCTTTGCTGTCTATCATTTGCATAAAAGTGACATTCATCATGTGTCACTTGTACCAATTTCCTTTCTCCTTGCTCGAGCTGAGGTTCTATTATATTTTCCATCATATTACTATCAAAATCTTTTATGCATTCCTTGTATTTAAACATCCTTTCTAACCATTTAACTCTATACGCTACTACATCAGACTGCTTATATCCATCATAATAAACACCTTTTTTCTTTTTATCATAATTATATCACTATAAATACATGTAGTTTTAGCATGTCTTTTCAGTAACGGTATCTTGTTCAATGTATTTTTCTTCGATATATGCCTTTAAAAGTACAGGAGATCATGATTCAGGTTTTTGCTGATGTAACAATACATGACAATCTTTAGAAATATCTTTATCATTAAGAAAACCTTCCATTTTGTATGTTTTCCTTGATGATTAGCAATAAGTTCTCCTATTTGTATGTAATGATCTCCCCAATTTCGAATGTATCTTAACATATAATCACCCTTGTTCTACACAGTTTCAGCAATCTGTCTACTAGCATTCATCTTATCTTCTCCATCCAATAGTAGCTTTATGAATTTACTTATGCTCACAAGATGCAAATAATCGTATGTAGATATATTTAATTTAGATGATTTCGTAAAAGAGCATTGTTGATTAACTTCTTCAAGACGTATTCGAAGATTTATCACAAAATTGGAAGATGATATAGGGCTTTGCATATGTACTAAAGGTGATTATGTTTTAGTATTAATGAATATTATTAGATTTGTGGTTGTATTACAGTATTGACAGATGATGTTAGGCTTTGTGCTGAAGACGTTTGTATTATATCAACAGAGGTTTGGTTTTGTATATTAGTTAATACTTCATCTTTAAGTTCCTTTTCTTTTTTTTTTCTTCAGATTGTTGTCCTTGAAGTTTCAGTATATTGTTTTTTATTATTTACCTCAAATTCCTTCTCTCTCATATTCCTCCTGTTCCTCCTGTTCCTTCTGCATATTGATCACTGCTTCTTGTATATGGATATTCTTCTTCTGGGACACAAAATGACCTTGTTTCTTAGGTAATTTACATGCTTCTCATTTTCTTTTTTTATAACATGGCATTTCAATTAACAATTAGTATTAATATAGTTAATATAGTTTGTAGATTAATTTTTATTTGATAAATACTTATTAATAGTTTTTTAGAGCAAAAACATAACAAAAGGTTCAAATTTAGATCAAATGAAATATCGAATAAGATTAAACATATTGATGTTTATGCATAATTGATAAACAATATGAGGCGAGTATATGTTTTTATTTACATTATAATCAAATGGGTAATTAATTTATAAGTTAATTAGGTTGTATTAATTGTATTGCTTTTGATTATTATTTATTTAGATGATTGGGTCGTAATGATTGCTGAATGATTGTTAATATAAAAAGTAATGCTCTATATGTTTTTTGTATAATGATCGTTTAGTGACTATTTATGCATAAATTATTTAAATAGATTCAAA